AATACGAGCAGTGAAGGACATGTCCAGTGTATCAGCCAGGTCAGGCTGCCAGAACAAAACACTGCACACAGGTAGCTTCAGTAAAGGAGATTTATTTCTCACAGGTCTGGAGGCTGGAAGTCCAAGATCAAAGTGCCAGTAGGATTGGTTTCTGGTAAGGTCTCTCTTCCTGATCTGTAGATGACTGCCTTCTCCTTGTGTCTTCACATGGCCTTTCTTCTGCGCACACAGAGACAGAGAGAGATCTGTGGTGTCTCTTTCTTTTATATAGACGTCTGTCCTATTGAATTAGGGCCCCACTTGAATGGCCTTATTTAGATTATCTCCTTAAAGACCTCATTTCCACATACCGCCACACTGGGGATCAGGGTGTCAACATGTGAATTGGTGGGATATGCTTCAGCTCATGACATCCAAGATGGCTTTTAACATCTCAAAGCTGTGGGCAGGGGCCAAGCAGACTTTGCCCTAGCAACACTGAAAGCCCATGGGGTCATTTAAACCAGCCAAGTACCTCCTTAGTTTCAAGGCCTTCTGCACCCACAGGGGGCTCACAAGACACCCATGAACTTGTCAAGACCCCTGGGCAAGAGCAGCCCACCTCACCATGCTGAGCACATGGAGTTGTATGAAGTTCATTTCTATAGACAGCCATGATTTAGAAACCTCCAGCACCTAGCAGGCATTTCCACATCCCCAACCCCCAGCCAGCAGTATGGTGCCTTCGAACATATCCTTGATCTCTTTCGTGCTTAACCATAATGTTGAGTTATTAGAGGTGTTATTCTCTTCAGTCACAGCACCAACAGCTGTTATTTGCTGAGGAATAGCTGTGACCAGAGCATCATCCAAATGTGCGATCTCCAATCCCAAAACAGTCCTGCCTGGTGTGGATATCACTGTGCCCATTTTACAGATGAGGAAAGGCGAATCCAAGAAGTTATTAGAAAGACAAAAGTCTATGTCACTCAGTAGGAAAAAGCATGCACGTAAACCCCAATCTCTCGTGTTGAAAACTGCAGCCTTTTTAGCCTAGCATCGATGAGGAGATTTTCTTTTCCCTAACTTTGGCCTCTATCTTAAGTGCATAGGATGGGCGACAGCCACAAGAGATAGGCTAAATCATAGATATGTCATAGATATATCTAACTCACAGACATGCACAGGGTTGGTGAATTAGCAACCCGTCCCCACCCCCAAGCCCCAGTGCCCTTGTCTGAATCTAGTGTTGAACTTAAGCTGCTAAAAGACTCACACCTGATGCAGACACGGAGCCCAGTAGCCATCCTTAGCTTTCTGACCACCCTCTAGAGTCTGAAAAAGCACAGAAGTATCACATTCCCCAAAGGCCTAGAAGTTGCCATTGAAAGTTTCCGTTTTTAAATAGCACAAGAAGTTTGGGTGAAGAGCCATGGATTTATCAGATAATAAAAGCCCCAGGATCAGATCTGGGGCATCCTTGTTAGAGAATGAGGGGGGTCACGTGGAGGTGGGGCCAGGGAAGACACCCCGCCAAGAAGTCTGCTGAGGGACTCAGAGCTTGTTTCCTGTCCCTGCAGTATTCTGAGGTGACAATTACCAGTACCAAATCTATTTTCTGTATTTGAGTTGTTAGAGATTTCCAGGCCCTTATAGATCATCTGTTCTGCTCTTGCAGCTGGCGATGAAGCTAAGGAAGCCTGAATCTTGGGGCCCTTCTCTTGTACACGCCTCTCCCAGGCCCTCTTCCTGATATCATGGATATAATGTGAGAATCTTTTCTTAAAGAAAGCTCAGCTGGGCGTGGTGGCACACACCTATAATCCCAGCACTTTAGGAAGCTGAGGTGAAAGGGTTTCTTGAGCCCAAGGGTTCAAGACCAGCCCGGGCAACTTGGCGAGACCTCATCTCTACAATAAATCAAAAAGTGAGCCAGCCGTTGTGGCACGTGCTTGCAGTTCCAGCTACTTAGAAGGCTGAGGGAGAAGGATCACCTGAGCCCAGCAGGTTGAGGCTGTGGTAGCCATGAACATGCCACTGCCCTCCAGCCTGGGCAACAATGAGACTCTAACTCAAAAAAAAAAGATGTCTCCCAGAATGGTATATGTTTTCAGCCCCATAAAACCTAGAGTCCCTTTACTACAGTGTATAAATAATATTGTTTTGGGGGGGTTTTTTTGAGTCAAGGTCTCACTCTGGTACCCAAACTGAAGTGCAGTGGCACCATCACGGCTCATTGAAGCCTCAACCCCCAGGGCTCAGGCGATCCTTCTGCCTCAGCCTATCCTGCCTCAGCCTCCTGAGTACCTGGGATTGCAGGCATGTACTACCATGCCCATCTAATCTTGTTTTACTTTTTGTTGAGACAATGTCTTACTATGTTGCTCAAGTTGGTCTTGAACTCCTGGGCTCAAGTGATCCTCCTGCCTCAGCCTCCCAAAGTACTAGTATAGACATGAGCTACCGCACCCAGCCAAAAATACTGATTTTTAAAAGCAAAGAACAGCTCATGCAGATGTGTGTCAGTTTCAGTCCATTTAGACGGGGTTGTCTATGGGGTAGGAGTCAGGACTGAGAGTCACCCAGCAGCCCCTGGGAGAACATCCTCACAACAGAAGGGGCTCGGAAACTGTGGGTTTCTACTCATTCTTTGGCTGCAGTGTTTGCATATTAAAAAGAAAATTGGATGATTGCAGTTAGGACTTCAGTTACTATGTGAAGGTCTCTGGTTTATCCCTGGATGATTTGGCAATGACTATTAAAATCAATCGGAGCAGAATGATATAATATTTTAATGCCTACCAAAAAATGAGAGTTAGCAAATTGGAACTTGAAGACCTGGATGTTTCTTTCACTATGGTCCCTTTTCATCTAATTCATGTTTTTCACTTTCTTTTTTGTGATTTATGATATGCATCAACAAACATTTAATACATTTTAAATAAGGTTTTAAAAATAGCATAAAGGCTGCATTTTGGGTTTTTTTTTTGTTTTTTGGTTTTTTTTTTGCTCTTTCTCCTGAACCGATATTTCCCAGACACTGTGCTTGTGTTTTTGTATAAGTGGTGTGTAAGGGCTACCTGTGTGCATTCGTGGGTGCTGGGTGTCAGTTCTCAGCTGTAGCCAAGTGTTTGTCCTGGAAATATCCGCATGAAAAGAGTTGGGGTCACTCTGGGGTCACGCGCATGTACCAGGAAGTGAAGCAAAACTAATCCAGCTTTACCCCTGGAAGAATTTGTTTGCCTAAGTATTTAAAAACAGATTAGGGCTAACCCGACACTAGATCACTAGGAGCAAAGTAAACACGGGTAAAAGGTGTAAACAAGGCCTTTCCTCTTTACTTCGGAAGCAAAAATGTCATGGGTAATGAGTTTTCTTTCTAGACTTTCATGGAAGCCCTAAGTGATTTCTCCCTGTCGCTTGTAGCTATGTACCCTGATTACTCCCCTGGAGAAACTTCTGAATTTTAGGGGCAAGCGATTGTAACTCGGTGTATTATTGAAGTCTCTGTGGGTAATTACAGTCCTCCTTACACGTAGGGCTTTTCTTTATTTTTTTCAATCACCCTCATCAAAAGGTCTCTGCCCAGGCCAAAGGGAGCACACAACCCTGGCCAGGCTCTGCTCCCTGGCTCCTTGTTAAATTTCAAGAGCTGCTTGTAAAATCTCACATTGTTCTTTTTACACGTCTTGCTCTCCCCCAACCCCTTACTGCAGAATCTGGAGAATGATTGAGTGTTCAATATCTCTCACATTCTTTTTAGAGAAACCAAAACCAAAATCATCATTAGCAGCCTCAGAGTACAGGAGCAGCTTGCCCAGGGTCCTTCCTCTGGGTCAACATAAACGCACCCTGCTGTCTGTGGTTTCTTTCTTTCCCCCAGTCTTGAGCTGCTCGTCCCATCCTGTCCCCTCTTTCACCTCAGTCCTCCCCCTGGCCATCTAGGAAGAGTTCCTATCCTCTTTAGGTGGAAGGTTATCACACCCTAGCTCTGGGTGCCCCATCTCAGCCAGGCTGTGCTGGGCATGCGGGCACAGGGCCCCGGCTGTCATAATCGTCCTTCCTCCACAGCTTCATAGTCTCTTCTGTCCCTGGGTTCAGCTTTGGCCTCCGGGGGGCCACCTGCTTTGTTTTCTAGGCCCTGGGACAATTTCCCTCAGGAACCCCAGCCGTTCATTGTCCTTTAAGGAATTCTTGACATTCTGCCACTTCGACTTAAGCCTTTCCCAAGTATCCAAAGAGACTCCTAAAGTACACCCAGTAACTGAGCTTGGCTGTCTCTCTTTTCTAAACTCCCCATTGGAGGTTCTGCTCTTCTCTAGTTGGGTCTATAGCCATGTTTTCTTCAGCTGAAAGTGTTTGAAGACCCTAGAGACCACACACGCACCCCTAATCCTGGGCAGATGAGTTAAGAACTAAGAGCAAACACACAGTCACCTCAGGAGAAGCCTGTGGGCTGTCCTGCACCCTGCATTCTAGCTGAGTGTTTTTGAATACTGACTTCCATTTCACTTGCTTACAGTAAAACTGAGTTCTTGCCTGGGAGGCCATCCTTGCATCTGGGAGGCAATGAATGGGTCTTCCTGTCAAGGTATGAGAGCCTCTGATCCAAGGCCATAGCCTTGGGCTCTCCCTTGCTTGCTTTCAGAGTCACAGCTTCTATACCAAAAGCAAAAGAGATTGAGAACTCCAAGGCCATGAGCCTTGGATCAGTGGTTCTCACTCCTTGAGGGTATCAGAATCCCCTGCAGGGCTTATTAAAACAGCTTCCAGGAGGGGCCTGGTATTGGGCCTGAGAATCTGCATTTCTAGTAAGTTCCGGGTGGTGCTGATGCTGCTGGTAAGGACACCACATTGTGAATATAATAAACCTTTACCCAGGAGGGCCTTGTGCTGAAGAAAGACACTGGTCTCCTGTTATTTCGCTCACCTCCCAATGCCTCCCGACCTCACAGGACTGGGGGCTGCAGCCTGAGTTCCTGTGCTTGCTTGTGACCACACCTGTCTGGTGGCTTTTGCAGGGAAGAGAAGGAGCGGTGGATCCGGGCCAAGTACGAGCAGAAGCTCTTCCTGGCCCCACTACCATGCACAGAACTGTCCCTGGGCCAGCACCTGCTGCGGGCCACCGCCGATGAGGACCTGCGGACAGTCATCCTGCTGCTGGCACATGGCTCCCGGGACGAGGTGAACGAGACCTGCGGGGAGGGAGACGGCCGCACAGCGCTGCACCTGGCCTGCCGCAAGGGGAACGTGGTCCTGGCGCAGCTCCTGATCTGGGTAGGTGGCCACCACGTGCTGTGCCTGACAGAGGATTGAGCCACTGTGGGCACTCTTCACTTTGTTCTGCTCCATGGGCATCTTTCTGGCAGAAAGCTGTTGTTCCCCATCTGAAAGTGGGAACAGTTCCTCATGGGGAATTCACACTGAAGTGCACAGGCCCATATGCAGGGACAGTCAGCCCTCCTTGTACAGCATTTGCTAGAGTTTCTGAAAAATACATCCTTTTGGCTACCCCTTCGTGTCAAGTATGGGTGGTGGTATCCCACTCTTTCATTTTCATCAATTTTTGGAGGTACAGGAGAATGTATAAACTGAATGGTTTGGAGGGTTTTCCCATGACCAAGTCTTCAGTTTGTTAATTGACATAACACAAAAATACTGGACCCTCAACTTTGAGGTTTGATGTAGTAGAAGTTTGTTACAGGGCTTCTTTGGAACTATCCTAATTAATCTCTACTGGGAAAAAATTTTTTTAAATTCATATTGGCCGGGCTCGGTGGCTAAGCCTGTAATCCCGCACCTTTGGGAGGCTGAGGTGAGTGGATTGCCTGAGCCCGCGGGTTCGAGACCCACCTGGGCAGCAAGACCTCATCTCTACAATAAATCAAAAAATCAGCCGGGCGTGGTAGCGCATGCCTGTAATTCTGGCTACTCGGAAGGCTGAGGCGGAAGGATCGCTGGAGACCAGCAGGCGAGGCTGCGGTGGCCGGGAGCGGCCACTGCACTCTAGTCTGGGTGACAGAGTGAGACTCCAACTCAAAAAAAAAAAAAAAAAATTCATATTGAAGCATTTGCCATGAAGCTTGAGTGACTAAAAGAAAAGGATAAAGAGATTGTGTGGAGAGGCCCTTTCTGGACTGAGTTTTAGAGACCCACACAGTCTGCCTGTGTACCTCTGGGGCTTCAGCTGAGGCCAGTCCTTAGGTGGCTCTTCTGTCCCCGTCCCGAAGGCAGGATAGGGTCTAGCACAGCACGTTCTGCATTGGCACATGTAAAATGATGCATGGGTCTACATGTTTGTTTGTTTGTTTGTTTTTTGAGTTGGAGTCTCACTCTGTCGCCCAGACTGGAGTGCAGTGGCCGCTCCCGGCCACCGCAGCCTCGACCTGCTGGGCTCTGGCGATCCTTCCGCCTCAGCCTTCCCAGAATTACAGGCGCCAGAATTACAGGCACGCGCTACCACGCTCAGCTAATTTTTTTATTTATTGTAGAGATGAGGTCTCACCAAGTTGCCCAGGCGGGTCTTGAACCCACAGGCTCAGGCAATTCACTCACCTCAGCCTCCCAGGGTGCGGGATTACAGGCTGAGCCGCTGAGCCCAGCTGGGTCTACATGTTTTTAATCTGACTTTTTTTGATGGGTGCAATAAGATTAGATTGGTTACACTGATACTTTATCAGAATCACCCATATTCAGCCTCACTTCTGCTCACTAGTAATACATGTGACAATAATGCACATTAAATAGCAATTGTGTTTAGTTTGCGAGGATTGCCACAAAATGCCACAGAATGGTTGGCTTAAATCAAAGACATTTATTTTGCCATGGTTTTGGAAGCTGGAAGTTCATAATCATGGTGGCAGCAGGGTTGGCTTCTGGTGAGGCCTCTCTCCTTGACTTGTAGATGGCCACCTTCTCCCTGTGTCCTCATATGGCCTCTCTGTGCCCACTCCTAGTGTCTTTCTCTTCTCATATGGACACTTGCCTTGTCAGATTAGGAACCCACCCTCATGACCTCATTTAACCTTACATAACACCTTAAAGGTCCTATCTCCAAATGCAGTCATATTCTAAAGTACTGGGTGTTAAGACTTTAAACATATGAACTGGGGGTGGGGGGGGGACACAGTTCAACCCATAACAAATTGCAGGCCATCTTTCCTTCTCAAGTTTACCAAGGGTTCCTTTGGTGGCAATACTCCATGCTATTGAGAGTGTGCTAAAATTCCCAGACATTGCCAGTCGGCAGAATCGGAAGTGAATCCCTCCTTCTTCATGAGCAAGAAACTTCAGAGTATTGTGTACTCTTATCTCCTGTCCCCTCTTCCAGTCATCACTCGAATAATCAGAGATCCTGAGAAAGGTTCAGTGTGAAGATATCCATCGGAGCACTACTCCCAAGGGCAGTTTTTGAACAGAATGTGCAGCAGTTGAGGAAGGAGTCATTGAATTATATTCATACAGCAGAATCGTATATATAGCTACTGTGTCTCCTGCATCTGAGTAGTCTTTAATGATGTAAGAAAATGCACAGTACAGCATTCAGTAAAAAGAAAAGAAAGCTGGCCAGGCATGGTGGCTCATGCCTGTAATCCCAGTACTTTGGGAGGCCAAGGTGCCTGAGCCCATGGGTTCAAGACCAGCCTGGACAACTTGGCAAGACCTCATCTCTACAATAAATCAAAAAATAAGCTGGGCATGACGGCACATGCCTGTAGTTCTAGCTACTTGGAAGACTGAGGCAGAAAAATCACCTGAGCCCAGCAGGTCAAAGCTGTGGTGGCCCTGAGCATGCCACTGCACCCCAGCCTGGGCAACAGAGTAAGACTCCAACTCAAAAAAAATTATTATTATTATAATAGATAAATAAATGGGAAAGAAAGTTACAAATTACTCTTAATTTTATCTCAATTGTGCACATATACATTTACAGTCAAAGAAAACCTATTAGAAGGAAATACACTAAAATATTAACAACGATTATCTCCAAATAGCAAGATTATAGGGAATTTTTTTCCTCTTATGCTCTTATGTGTTATTTTATGTATTTTCTACAATGAAAGTGAATTTCCTCTAGGATTCAAAAAATTATTACTTTTTTTCCTTTTACAATTGGAAAGTCAAAACAGAAATAGCAGTGGGGGCCAAGCATGGTGGCTCAAGCCTGTAATCCCAGCACTTTGGGAGGCAGAGGCAAGAGGATTGCCTGAGATCAGGAGTTCAAGACAGCCTGGGCAACTTGGTGAGACCTCACCTCTACAATAAATCAAAAAATAAGCTGGACATGGTAGCATGCACCTGTAGTTCCAGCTACTTGGAAGGCTGAGGTGGAAGGTTTGCCTGAGCCTAGCAGACCGAGACTGTGGTGACCATGAGCATGCTACTGTACTCCAGCCTGGGCAACAGAGTAAGACTCCAATCCTGCCCCCAAAAAGAAAAAAGAAATAGCAGTGGGGCATGGTGTCCCTATAATCTCAGCACTTTGGGAGACTGAGGCAGGAGAATTGCTTGAGGCAGGAGTTCGAGACCAGCCTGGACAACATAGCAAGACCCTGTCTTTATAAAACGAAAAATAGAAATAGCAAAACGGAAGTTATCTTTTTTTGTTGTTGGGTTTTTTTGGTTGTTTTTTGGGGTTTTTTTGAGTTGGAGTCTCACTCGGTCGCCCAGACTGGAGTGCAGTGGCCACTCCCGGCCACCGCAGCCTCGACCTGCTGGGCTCCAGCGATCCTTCCCCTCAGCCTTCCGAGTAGCCGGAATTACAGGCATGCGCTACCATGCCCAGCTGATTTTTTGATTTATTGTAGAGATGAGGTCTCGCTGCCCAGGCGGGTCTCGAACCCGCGGGCTCAGGCAATTCACTCACCTCAGCCTCCCAAAGGCGCGGGATTACAGGCTGAGCCACCGAGCCCGGCGGAAGTTATCTTTGATTCACCATTCTATACAAAGGAGAGGCTATTAGTTGAGTAAAGCACATTCTTTCCTTAAAAGAATATGCTGGCTGCAGTGCCAGGCTGGGCTGTGGCACTTAGCAGTTCCAGCTCTCACCTGATCCTGTAGCTGGTCTCTAGCTGGCCCATGTCTAAGCACAAGCCACATGCGGAGGTTGAGAGAAAGCTCTCCTGCCCTCTCCTCCCATCCAGTCCCCTGTGATGCTAACATGAGCTCTGTTGCCTCCACAGTACGGGGTGGATGTCATGGCTCGAGACGCACATGGGAACACAGCACTGGCCTACGCCCGGCAGGCCTCCAGCCAGGAGTGCATCGATGTCCTGCTGCAGTATGGCTGCCCTGACGAGCGCTTCGTGCTCATGGCCACCCCCAACCTGTCCAGGAAAAACAATAACCGGAACAACAGCAGTGGGAGGGTGCCCACCATCATCTGAGGAATGGCTGTGCACCTGTCTGCCATACCTGGGACGCCGGCAGCCTCACTGCGCACTCTCTTGGAAGTTGCAGCACGTGAGTCCCATCGTGTCCCCTCACTCCTTCTGGTGGTCACCTCCCACCCACCTACCCACTCTCACCCCCGATGAAATCACAAAACTGGACATCCTCAAGGAGCAAAGAAGAGGCCAGGAGGCTGAAGAATCGATTTCTTTTTATAAACTCCCGTAAACAACAATACAGGAGAGACCGGCAGGCCTTGGTTCTTTGATGATAGCACACAGCGCAGGACCCTTGTCCCGGCGGCACAGGGGAACAGGGACGCAAGGGGGAGGGGAGTTGAGGAACAAGGAGAAGGGGCAACTTTCTTTAACTGGCAGTTAAGCACATCAGTACATTTCACCTCTACCAAACGGAACACTTGGATTTCATCTCTTCTCCGAGGAGCTTGACGGCATAAATCAGAAGCAAGCACAGAGTTTGTCAGGTTTGAAGCCCCTATGATGGTATGTGTCAAATCAGTTGTAGCTAATCTGTCCAGGGAGAATACTGGCTTCATTACACTTGTATAGTTGAGTTCTTCCAGCATTACCGCTGTTTAATAGAACATGATTAGTCATCACCAAGAAGAAAGCATATTAGCCGAGGAGGTAGTTACGCGGCACGCTCCGGTGATTGCCACGATGTGATTGCAATACTCTTAGAAGCATCATATTATCCCAGACATGTTCTTTCAAGCCCTTGGAGCCCTCCTTTCTAAATTCACTGTCATAATTTAGTATCTGTTTAATTTTTCAGTCCAAAGAGAGGAAATCAGTTGCTGAGTATTATTTGACTGCAGTCTCCTTGGTGCAAAAACAAAATGGAAAAAATAAATAAGGATAACTCAGAAATTCAAAAGGAAATCACAAATTCAGCTAATAATAGCATTTCAAGTACATTTCATAAACTAAGTAAATACACAAAAGGCTATTTTTTTCCGAACACAAGAGATATTTTCTGTCCTTTTGCCAAGGTGGACATGTTGGTCTCAGTCACTCCTGGACCACATTGCCCAAGTCACACAGGCTTCTGTATTCCGTCTTTAGATAAGATATGTGAAAATCTATTTGAATAAAAGAAGTTCATAAATATGCATTGATTTTTGTACAGACAAATGGCACCTCTGTTAATTTATAAATTGAACTGGATGTGAACTAATAATGTGCAACTAGTTGAGATAAGAGGGTTACAGATCATTGTACTTGGAAAATATTCCCAGCAGTAAACACTTCCATTAGTGTGATCTACAGCTTTTAAAAAGGAACATATCAGAGCAAGATGGTCGTACAATTTGCTTATTAAAATTGAGAAAAAAAGACACTGGAGCATGTTAGAAAGGGGAGAAAGGGGCACGTGATTTCTCAGGATTGAAAGCATGACTTAGAATCAGATACCACTTTTGCTAACCGAGACCAAGGGGCTCTGGCAAGATGGGATTTTCTGAATGCTGGGCCGAGGTGTTTTACAAAGGCAGCTGCCAGTAGTTCTGAGGCACAGACTGGCCCCGAGAACCCGTACGACCTTGACACGGCAGCTGGGCCTTCTGTGCTAGTACGTCACTTGCCTTGCCATCACCATGGCATAGTGGTCAAACATCATAAACTGAGTCATGGCATCCCTTAAGCTAAAGAGAAAAGGGGGTGGCTTTGCCTAGAGCCTTCTGGCAGTATGATGGGGGAAGAAAGGGTTGTCAAGATGCAAGACGAGGACACTGGCCTAATGTAGCACAGAAACACAAAGCCACGTTTGCTGGCAGCCTCCGGGATGTTCCTTGCTTTCGAATATTAAACCTTATATTTTGTAAGGGTTTTTCCTCTTTCACTTTTTAGGAAAAAAAAATTAAAGGAGATGGGAAAAAAAATAAAGCTTTACACAGAATTTATATGTAGGTAAATGTGTCATGGAGATGTCTAACCTTGATAAAACTGAGTGGAACCCACTGGTATCCAGAAGTATAACAGGTGCAGGAGCCATGAGTCTGAGAACCTAGACAGCAGTCCCATAGTCCCTCCATCCGATTTTTAATTCCGCGCTTCATCACTGTGTTGTTATTTTAAATGTGAATAGAGAAGAAAAATGTCATTGCCTATTTTTGAGGAACGCATTAGTGTTCTACTCCTGCTATTATGCACATCCGCCTCCACACAGCCTTTACCGTAGACTTCCTGTAGTGTACACAGATATAGTATACCAGAAATTCTTAAATTATTTCATTGTAGTGAATTCCCACTATAGGAATGCTTTATCATAGTGAAGCCTTCTTTTGAAAAGAAACGGAATTCCTTGTAAGGCTTCTCTTCGGGATGTATATGAGTGTGTATATATTATTCTATGTGTTTATAATATAATATTTTCCTAAATGACTTCTTTCACTTCGCCTTCCACAACCTGATATGCCAGATTGATTTTCCCCTTCCCTGCCTCCAGCACAGGGATGTCAGCAACTCCTCCCTGGGAAACACAGGCCCCTCCCTGGCCATTCAGCCACGACCCAGCCCACGCTCTTGAGCCCAAGTTTTGGCAGCAGAAGGAAAGACAGTAGTTGGGGGTCTCAGGGGTCTTCATTTCAAATAAAGAAGACTGGCGGCTAATCTGTCCATATCTCAGTGTCAGACCAGAAGTCCCCTCTCTGCTGACGATGCTCTCATTCCCATTTTCAAGCTAATTAACACCAAGGCTGGTAGAAGCAAGGACCCAAGGGCAGCGTTAGAAAGAGCCAGTTTGAGAAGGGGGTCAAGCTTTCGCTGCTCATTTCCATGTCCGGTTCTGTGAAATGATGATGACATGAAATGTCACCACTTCAGAACCCACACAGGCATTTCTGTTCAGGATTAAAATTCTCCTTTGATGAGAAACCACCAGCTGGGGAGGTACACGAGCCACTGCTTAACCGCAAGGGTGACCCAGCCATGTTCGCATCCCTGTGTTCAGCATTGCAGTGACTAAACGGGGATGTGTGTGATGCACACCTAGCTGGGGGTTCTTCCGTGACCAAGAAAGTCCTGCAGGGACAGGAAGCTGTGATTCTGACCTCAGGTACTGGGGTAGGCAGATGGTTCATTGAGGCCAGCACCCCGGTCCTGCTCCCTGGTCCCTCTGCCTCTGTCATCCCAGGAAATGAGCAGCTTGAGGGTGAGCAAGTGAACTTCATGAGTCAGTGATCTCGAAACCAGGTGCAATGTCATGTCTCCCAGTAAGTGAGCATAATATTTATATCCCAGACTGGCAGGTGAAGCCGGTGGGATACTTGCTGATGCCCGGGCTACCGGACACAGGCAGAGCAGGCTCTTAGTAAATTACATTCTTTGCAGGACTAAGAAACAGTCCTTAGACTTTTACATCTATCACTGCCATGGAGTGATCACTGGACCCCAAGATGCTGTGATGTCCATGATTATAGAGAAATGGTTAATGCCCCATGTCAGGATTCCTGGTCTGCAGGCCAGTTCTGGGCAGTAGCTTTCCAGAACAAGGGCCTTACATTCAAGCTCCCTCTTCTGAGATTTTGCCCAGCCTGATGAACTCTGTTTAGATCCACCCTCTGCCATCCAGTGTAGAGATCCATCTTCCCAGTTTTGTGACACTTGCACACATTTGGGGTCATTGCCTATATCTGCATAGGAGCTGTGACTAACCTCATTAGGGAGAAACAAGGCCCCATGAGAAAAACAGCCCTGGGTTCGCCTGGCTCTGCCTTCCTACTAGAGGATGCATGTGTAGCCTTGGCCAGTGGACTCTTTTTCCTCATCTATAAAACTTGCAGGGTGCAGTGAGGTTTCAAACCAGTGTGATAAACACCAGCCTAAAGCATAGCAAGGGGATGGATGCTCAGGAAATGGGAGCATTTACTATGAACAGAAATGCTGGCCAGCCATAACAACTCACCCCTGCAATCCCAGCATTTTGGGAGGCCAATGCGAGAGGAATGCTGGAACCCAAGAGTTCAAGATCAGCCTGGGCAACATAGTGAGACCTTGTCTCTACAAAAAAAATGATTAATTAATTAATTTTAAAAATTAGAGACCGGGCGTGGAGGCTCAAGCCTGTAATCTCAGTACTAGCCGGGCTCGGTGGCTCAGCCTGTAATCCCGCGCCTTTGGGAAGCTGAGGTGAGCGGATTACCTGAGCCCGCGGGTTTGAGACCCACCTGGGCAAGTTGGCGAGACCTCATCTCTACAACAAATCAAAATGAGCCGGGCGTGGTAGCGCACGCCTGTACTTCCAGCTACTTGGAAGGCTGAGGCAGAAGGATCGCCGCAGCCCACCAGGTCGAGGCTGCGGTGGCCGGAAGCGGCCACTGCACTCCAGTCTGGGTGACAGAGTGAGACTCCAACTTAAAAAAAAAAAAAAATCTCAGTACTTTGGGAGGCCGAAGAGGATTACCTGAGCTTAGGGGTTCGAGATCAGCCTGGGCAACTTGGTGAGACCTCATCTCTACGATAAATAAAAAAATAAGCCAGGCATGGTAGTGTACTCCTGTGGTTCCAGTTACTTGGAAGGCTGAGGCAGAAGGATCCCTTGAGCCCAGGGGATTGATGCTGCAGTGAGCTGTGATTGTGCCACTGCACTCCAGCCTGGGGGACAGAGTGAAACCCCGACTCAAAATTTAAAAAAAAAAAAATCAGAAATACTGATAGGACCAAAGCCAGAGCATACGCCTGGAAACAGGCCCCCTAACTGACATCCTGTTCTCAAGCCAGTGTCCTGGGGAGGCAGTGATGGGCAAGTTTTCCAGCCACTCCCGGTTGAGCCCGTGGCCCTTCTCTCTCTACTGAGCCAGTCAGTACCCTTCCCTGGCCCCCTGTATGTGGGGAACGGTGCCAGAGGAGGGAAGGCTCCTTGGGGACCCTTGCTCCCTGAGAGCCCTCCTCCAACCTGCCCACTTACCATCTCATCAGTCCCCACTTCTGAAAACGTCTCCTTCACTCTTAGTCTGAGTTTGGTTCTCTAGAAGCAGAGCCAGAGTTCAGTTCTGCCCTTGTGCCGTTTGCTAGTGTGGCTTCAAGCCCAAAATGACCTTTCTCTGTTTCCCTTACACTCTGTTGTGTGGCTGACTTGGGTAAGCGTCCCTTTCCTCAGATGCCACCACCCTCCGGTCACTATGAAGCAGGTCACCTGGATGCCCTTTTTGCCTTCTTTTTGCCATCAGAGCTTGCTGGAGAGGACCGTGGGCTGGCCGAGGGTGGCACTAGGCTGAGGGTGGCTCCCGCCTCTCTCCCCGTCACTGAGTTCTCCCGCCAACTGGCACTCCTGCTGGCCCTTGAACTTGGTGAACTGTCTTCCCCCACGACAGTGACCTGCTCATCCCTTAGCCTGAGCAACACTGTAGGTGTTATGGGCCCCCTTGGCACCCACTCTGCCAATCCTTCTTCCCTGAATTTAGGGTGTTCTGGAAACAAGGGAAAATCCACATTCCCGCCAAGGGAGGTTGGAAGCCTGGCGACAGTGAAGCTTCTGAGATGGAGGACGGTCAGGCCTCACAAACTACTTCGGAGCGAAGAGATTTGGAAAGCAAATCCAATACCTCTCCTCTGGCTGCTTCCCTCCCCACCGCCCCATCTGCTCTGTTTCCATCCCTCACGCCCCCAGCAAGGTCATTGAGACTTTTCAGGAACTCCCTTGGGTCGTATTTACGGCCTTCGAGCAAACAAATTGAAGAGCAGTCAGGAAAGAATTCAGATAGAAAGTGCCGGAGACACACATCTTTCCTTCAAAGGAAATATAATTTATTGCCAACTGCCTCTTCCAACTTGGATTTCGCATGTTGTGAAGTCACATCTGGAATGATTTTCACCCTCATCCTTCACAAAAAAGCTAAATAAGGGCCTTTGGCATCGAGATTTGCAATTTTCTTGTTTTTCTTGTTTCTGTTTGGGATTCCTAGGAGGCTTGCCCTGGGAGGCCCTCGTGGTCATGTGTCTTTGATGTGTCCCAACCCTGCCAGGCCAGACCAGTGTACCCAGATGTGGGGCACTCCACAGTGGGTGGGGAGCTGAGAGACCCACCTGCCCTCCCCTGCAGGCAGATCCACCCCACTCTGCTTTGTACCCTATTGTCCTCTGTCAAGCATCTAAATTAGGTTGACTTTCAGCAAAAAATGTCACATTTCTTCCAGTTATGCCATGGAGAGGAAGAGGGCAGGTGTATCTACTTGGAGCAGGTAGATGACTAAGAAATGGTCCTCAAATTTTTATGTCTATCACTGCTAGGAACTGACCACTGGACCCCGAGATATTGTGACATCGGTGATTAGAGCGAAATGGTCAGTGCCCCATGACAGACTCCTCACCTCTCACTTCATGAGGAAAAAATAACATTTACTTAGACATTAATATTTCAAAACACAAGAAGAAATACTGTCCTTAATTTTTTTTTAAGTACCGATGAATCCCCTATTTAATTTATATGTCTTCTGCTTTTTAAACATCAGTTCTCATCATACATCAGAGTTGAAATTAGAGGGCATTTCATCGGTAGCTGATTCGGGAAAGGGATTCTGTAAAACCAACAAGTTTTTTTTATTTGTGAAGTTTTAAAAGCCCAGGTATTAGAAGGATTCGAGTTCCACCAGTATAGTAAACATCCACCCCAAAGCAACAAACGTAAATTGGAAAACCTATCCTTGCCGTCTCACACTATGAGATGCCGAGTGTGATAAAATGAGAGCATTTGGTTTGGGGTTTTGTGCCTGTTTGATAGAGCTGTTCTTTTCTGAGGCCCTCACCTCTACAGACAGACCTCAGGGCCTGGAGGTGGGAAGGGCCAGGCAAGAGTTGCCAGCAAAGACCTGAGTAGTTCTGGGGGGCCTGGAGTTCAGGCCTGGGGTTGCCGGGGTAGAATCCAGTAGGCAGCTATGGCTTCCAGCCTCGGAATACCCAGGCTCGCAGCTAGTCCATGAGTTCAAGGCAGGATGCCCTTTTGAATGTGAGAGAGGTCAGCTCAGGGGTTGGTCTTTAATTTAGCCTGGCATGCGTTGTCTGTAGAGTAGGGCCTCTGAGGGGCACGTGAGTCAAGCCATATGATAGAGACTCCCTGTCCAAGTCCTTTTAGGACTGATCTAGAATTCACTGTGGAAGAATTACATGGCCTTTGTCCTGAGATGCAGGTGGGAAAAAAGGCACCAAGCAAGGTGGGAGCACATTGGGGAATCTCCTTAATGGAACTAACCTCCTCAATACACCAACTGTTGGGAACAGCTACCCCTAAATCAGATTAAACCTCTTCTCCCTGGTGCTGGACAGTGCCCACACTGGCCCAGAAAGCTAATGTCTGATCTGGTTCAAGAACTCTATTATAAACAGAACATACAGGGAGTCCACTCAATCAGTGGTTGGCCAAGTGGAATGTAAGGAGCTG